TTCACATTTAGGATTTTTTTAAACTAAGAAGATAGGTTTCCTACGCATTGAAAAAATTTGTATTAATGCAGTTCTATTATGTTTAGATACTCAATTTTTTAATAATTTTTCATTAGACAGGGTTTGAGAAAAAAAATATTAGGCAAAATTAGCGATTTTTTGCGTTATTGGAGGGGGGGGGTGGGGGAAGAGGGGACGGGGACGTTACAGTAAATTTTGTTGTTAGTATATACACATGTACAGACACTTGGTTTCCGTTTTAAAAGATAAGGTCATTTTGACTGTCTTAACCGGAGGTACCCTTTTAATCAGCATCGATAACATCATTCAAAACGCATAAAGAACAAGTAAAATAATCCTGACAGCTTTCACATGCTGAATACACTTTACCAAATTGCACTGAGCCTTGCAGAACGCAGCCTTACAACTTACCGATACGCATAAACATCTTTTCCCATTCTTTTAATTACGTTCATTGTCTCGTTGTTTGTTTCTTCATTGATATCCCAACATATCACTGTTGCTCCTAACGATGCATAGCCAATCGCCAATTTCTTTCCGATCCCATGACCTGCACCTGTTATCTGAAATAAAATCGGTTTATCAATTTTCACAGTTTAAAATAGCGTTGTTATTATGCATTTTCTGGTTGAATTGCTTTAAAAAGGAATTACGAATTTACTTAATAAAATAGATATCAAAATAAAGGCATTATTATACATATAGAAAATCTCTCTCTCTCTCTCCCTCTCTTTCGCCTTCTCTCTCTTTCTCGTCAATCATGTTTACGCAATGTAATTTCAGACACTTATTTACAATAATAAAAAGATAGATGATGTAGTAAATTATAGATAAAATTTTGAAACTTATTAAACTATTAATTTGTACTATTAAATATTGGAATATGTTCTGTAATGAAGCAAAGCAACTGACACTTACATTTTACAATCGCAATGTTCTAAATTTGATATTATTTCAATATATACATATACAGTATGTTTTATTTTAATTACGCCAAGCATCTAAAAAATGTGAAAATTATGCAGCAAAGTTTCAGGCAAAGGCTATTCGGTTCGAAGAGGACATTAAATTATTTAAAAGCTACACATTTCCGCAAATGCGTCTTTATAATTTAGACTACATTTAAGTAGTATTACGTACCTGTGAAATTGCATTAAAATCGAAGGTGGGTAGTTCTCTAAAGGTAAACCGTATTTTACACACACACGATTTTATAATATGTAGGCATAGTTTTAATAATTCTCTCATATAATAAAAATAACTTGAAATTGAAATTTAAACGCCCATTGAATTAGGACCTAGGCAAGGTGGTGGCCATTAAATAGCTTAGTGAATCCTGGTTGGGGTAATATTTTTCGCAATAAATATTTTAATTTAATAGGGGAAAGGGTAAATTTATAATGCTAAGTATAGCATTAAAATAATTTATAAAAATCGCTTTGCAATTTTTAGAACATGTGAATTCACTGACGAAATGATCCTACCGAGAGGAAAATCTGTGTTATATGTCCGATAGTAACGGCGCACAGTACAGAGTAGGAAAAATACGGTACATGGATTCACTAAGCTATTTAATGGCCACCACCTTGCCTAGGTCCTAATTCAATGGGCGTTTAAATTTCAATTTGATTTATATCTAAATAGGACCGAGAAATATTCATCGTTGAAAAATAACTTGACTTCTTTTTAACGGAGCCCATATTAAAACTTCTATACGCACCAAAACAATTTCGCCAGCGACGCTCTTTTCCTTCGCTGGCACGATAAATCTGTATATATCTTCGCAAATGTAATATACAACTTTCAAAATAAGCAGTAATATCTCTGCTAGAAAGAGCAACACGTCGTATATTTTTACCATGATTGTCTGAAAAATTAGTAATATTTTAGAGAAGAATTTAGTATTAATGGATGTAAAAATTTGTGTTAATTGTACCTATATTTTTTATCGGGCGATATTTTTTTAATTATGTATTTGTAATTAGGTATTTTAACTATTGTTAGTGTTTTAGAATGTTATTTAAATACGATTTTCGAAATGTATATCCCAAAAGTAAAGAGAATGATTTTTATATGCACGTGAGAAAGGCCTGCAAAAAGAAACTGGGGTTCGAAGCAGTTGGCAGAGAACCCCAGTCTGACTCTTTTCACGAACGAAAATGCAGCGCAGTCTCAGGCAGCGTTATGCAAACGAATTCTGCATTAAACTCGAAAAATCTGGAAGAATTCTCTGCGATTAATCTCCTATTCAAGCGTCGGTCCCTATTCAAAGCAGCCTTGAAACGGGCCACATTGTCCTCAGTCCTTAAAGTTGAAGGACGTCTTTGTTCTCAACGTCCCTTCCGACCTTAAAGGCCTAGTGCTATGTAAAAACTTGGGTTGAAGTCAAAGCAGCATCGCTGTAAGCTGTTCTCGACGTCTTTAATGTTTCAGAATCAGATTTTCGCTGCATGTTTGCCCGTGACAAGACACAAAGTTACTACTCACTGTGCTAACGTACCGAACTGCTAGAGAGGCTCGAACGCAACTGAGAAGAGTCAGACTGCAGCTGGGGTCCTTCTTCACCAACTGCTTCGATCCCAGCTTCCCTGGCCTCTGATATGCATACAGAAACTATTCTCTTTACTTTTGAGACACACTAAATCTTTTCCGGAGGCCAAATGCATTAACTTCTGTTACCTCAGTAAATTGAAAAAAAAATTAGTTTCAGTCAATTTTAGATAAAGCTCGTTTTAAATTTGAGAGTTACGAAAAACGATGACTCGTCGGTAGTCTTCCTTTGGAAAAAGCAACGTCAAGGATTCTGTTTCGAAAGAACGTATGACGGATCCAGTACGTTTTTAAGATCTATTACGCGTGTATAGAGGAAAATCCCCGTATTGTATGAGAATTAAAGATGAATGTTAAATTATAAATAAACTTTCACGTATTAAATTACATATTGAACTAAACTTTTGGAGGGGTTTTATAAAATTTATCTTGTAATAATTTGGTAGAAATATAGAAACTTATTTGTATATGTGTAGAATACATTAACGTATACATTAACAGTGAAACAATTATCGTAAAACCGTATGGTCTCGCTCCAAACATAAAGTAACATTTCAACGACAAATTAGCAGTTAAGTGTGATTAGTTGAATTTAAAGGTGAGAACCGATAATATTTTATTAGTTATTGTTAGCTGCCCAGTGAGCAGTTGTATTACTAAACGCACCTAATGCGTATGAGTTAAAAATATTATGCGTAATGTTTTACACATCTGTAATTACATTATACTTTATAATTTGTGTCATGTAGCAATCATGAAGCCACAGTAAGAAATACCATCGCGTGTCAACCTTTATCATACCTAACGGCACAATTTCTGTCTACATGAGTATGGTAGCAACAAAACAAGCCTGATATACCGCGAACCACTTACATAATTGAGCCAAGATGTAAATACACAGATAGCCAAATCTGTCAGCAGATTTCGTCAAATGCCTACTATAAATTTTGAAGACAGAAAGACTGCAGGTCGCCTACACCCACGCAGCATGTAATACTGTAGTAATATTACAATAATATTACAGTATTGTAGTAATATATTAGTATACAAATGAAATGTTATAGAAATATTACTAAAATAAGGTTACAAATAATTTTATGTTTTATAATAATATTTTATGTTTTATTTAATATACCTATTTAATCTATCGCAGAGAAGTGATTTCATTATAGAGCTCTGCAAATCAGAGTATGTTGAGCTCACTTTCCGTGTTGAAAATCATTAAACTACATCGCAGAAATTACGCGAAATATGATAAATATTATTGTTCAATGATAATAAATTTGGATATAATTAGATCAAATTTTATCATATCTGACATTTTTGATACAATTAGATACAATTAGAATGCTGTCCACGAACTGCTCATTTCGGCCGATTTTCGCGAGGCACCGCCTATTACCCCCTACTCCAGTCATCTAACAACCGTAACCAAGCACGCGGCGCTCAGCTTCAGGTACGACGTATCGGTAATCCGACATCGTTGCGTGCCTCTTGACTGCCAAATGTCAGTTTCTGAAACGTGATTTGTTTAAAATTTTTTTAAATAACTACTTCAAAAGAAACTTTTAATTCTCGATTATTGATTACATTGACGAGAGTATATTTAGTAATTATTTAAGAAGATTTTAAACAAATCACGTTTTAGAAACTGACTTTGCTAGTCAAGGGGCACATAACGACATCAGATTACCGATACGTCGTACCTGAAGCTGAGCGCCGTGCGCTTGGTTACGGTTGTTAGATGACTGGAGTAGGGGGTAATAGGCGGTGCCTCGCGAAAATCGGCCGAAATGAGCAGTTCGTGGACAGCTCTGATTATTAGATATATGGCTTTTTTCCCCGGGATCACATTGTAAAGAAAAGAGGACGATCGAAATCGGCGGAGGTGGTGGTGGGCCTCTACATACATATATGTATGTGTGTATATATGTACAATAGGTCGAGTTTTTATCTCGAGAATAAAATTTTAGTTTAAGCGAATTCACAGAGTCTTTTAATCGATAGATTTTCGTTTGTAAACTTTACAATTTGATTTTTTATTTGTACATTAATAAAAAATGTTACACAATAGCCACAGCTTTTGGTGTGTAGCAGTGTGTAACATTTTTTATTAACGTTTCACATCGTAAGAGTTATGTATTATTGTATGCATGAGTATTACACGTTTAAAAAAATTAATGATAAAAATGTAAAACGTAATTATTGCAAAGAAAAGAGGACCGCCGTGAAGAAATCTGTTTTTATCGACATTTCAAGCACCTAGCACGGAACACAACCAAAACATCTGCATTATCCGCTCAAACGTGGACTTTGGATACGTAGTTCGTGTCCACGTTTTCAGTGTCCACAGGGCGTATCGCGTTCGAGGATCACGTAAAACCGGGCCGTGTGGCAGCACTGGCAGCTCTCAGGCTTCTCTCTGGTTTATATTAGAGGTTATATTATATTCGACTTTGCATCGCGTGTGCTGATTTAAATACACGTTAAATAATGTCGAGTAACAACAGCAGTTTTATCACTGTACCTGGTTTCTGCCCGGATTGCGGTTCAATTTTGCCCCTGCTTAGCGAAAGCGGCACAGTCGCATGTTACACATGCAAAAGAGAATGGAATTCCGAAGGTGCGCTCTAAACAAATATCTTCTTCAGTTAACAAATTTTATATTTATGTATATATTACGGGATAATTCAAACGAAATACTTGTAGAAACTTTCAGGGCGAGTTTTCCATAATTAAACAAGAAAAAGCTGTTCTAAGTTATATACGTGTATAACCAGTCAGCAAAATGTTAACAGATTCGCATCAAATCTGAACTGAATTGCCAACTGAACCAGTGAACTGTCGCACTTTTCAAAGACCTTAGGATCATTACAGCTTCATACTTTGACACATAAAGTTACTCAACAAACAGCATCTCACAGTTCTGTTCTTGGACTTGCGATCACTCTTTGTAATCATGTTAACTCTACAAACCTAGATCCCATTAATTTTTTCTACCAACAGACACTCTGAGGACCAACAGTTATCAAGAATAACTCGTTCTTTTCTGGCACTTGCGACCTATCCGGCCGAATTAACAATTACAAACTCCAAATTTATTTTATATTTGTAACTACGTATCTCTGTAACCGTTAATATTGATAAAGGCCTGATGACAGGTCGAAACGTCTATTTGTATTAGTATTATTATTTACATTATTTATATGTTTAAATTACATTATTAGCACGAACACCTTTTTTCCCCTTTTGAACCTTAGGATTGTTACGAGTGGTTTTGGAGGCATGTACGATGCCTTCAGTGTATCTACATCGACAGCAGTAGAGCTGACAACATCAATTGAATAAGGCAACAGGTTGTTGGATCTCAGATAGCACACTGAATTCACAAAGTATTCTTTAAGTTTTCTTTCTTCTGAATTGTAATTCTTTAGGAATTCATAGGAGAATACAATAAGAGTGACAGAGGAAGTTACATGCACCATAAATCGTTTTCCTGACAACTTCTTAAAGTATTCATCTCGAATTCAATAAATGTAAACTTTATGAATTCAAGGGGAATAGTGTTAGAACAAAGAGGATTACAAAATATTTACCTAATGTATGTACACATCTAATATGCAGTAACATTACACCATTATTATAACTTCTCACTCAACAGTGAAATACTCTCAACCGAAGCTCGTTGACAATCGGTGATTCTTCCGTTTCGGTTCTCGTCGTTCGATTCTTCCGTTTCGGTTCTCGTCATTCGATTCTTTCCTTTACACAATAGAACTATTGCACAAAATTAAATGCACATAACGTTACGCACACAAAATATTGCACGTGGTAACACGCTGCACAAGAACGACCGGATGGTGGTTAGCGGATACTCGCGCATGACAAATAATTTCTCATAAATTCTTAAACTATTCACAGTACTAAATCGCGAAGTATTCATTATAATGAACTTCAGAAGAATACTTCAAGACGAACTGATTGAGACTAATTCTTCAAGAATTCTTCAGATATTCATTTTTCTAATTCTGTATGTTTTCTTTAAAATGAATTCTCTATGAACTTATGTTCATCTTTGTGCTATCTGGGATTATACCATGAAACTCAAGAGTTGAATGTGATCTTCTGATAATTTATATTTTTCAACTTCGGGACTCTGTGTGATCTTCTTTTAAAATCTTATATCGTCAACGACCATGTCCTTCCACCTAATGTACATAGATTATTTTATACTTGACATCTGCCGACCCAAGGTTGAAACTTTGCCCACTATATTCGTGCCTGTCAGCCCGCATACTTTGGTGCATCGGTTGTGAAGGAGCTCTCGTCCCGTGGATCGTCAGTTGTTCATTCTACAATATACTTTCTCGTCGCTAACCTTGCTGATGATGGCTCAAAGGAGGAGCCGAAACGTACTTCGATCGACCTAATACATATATTGAATGATTTTAATCTTTGACTGAATTTTTATTTTACATTTACGCACCACCGACCGCGCTAGACTCGCACATTAGTTTTCTTTACCATTGTCACGAGTCTTTTTATCTTTAATTTTAATCTTCTGAGATTTCAAGATGGCTTTGTGATTGACGTACAACACATTAAGGCTATAGATGTGTTCTCATTTCCTCTCAGTACTATTGACAGTACTCCCAATAGTCTCCAGCAATTCAGTATCGAAGGAAAGGTGTTGATAGTTGCATTTATATGTTAAATGAATAACTGCTATATTATTACGAAGGATACTGAGGTTTCATTTGGGAATGATTTTCTCAGAAGCTGCATTCAGCGATAGCGTCCAGTACTGGCAGTAATACTGAGAGGAAACCGGAGTACTCTCTATATTCAAAAGTCTTAAATATAAGAATGAGCTACTTATACCGGCCATAAACCAAGCATTTTCGGATATGTATACGGCATATTTCTCTTGTTCAGCTGTAGAGAATTTGCCTTCAAAGTTTGTACAGGTATTTCTGAATCACCCTGTACACATATTCCGGTAATTGTGTACATAGAGTATAGATGATTTAACAGATTGCTGTAAGATGATGTACAAAATTCTACAAAATACTGTAGGATTGCGTTGGCAATCTTTAATGTACGAGCAATGGTGAAAAAATCGCATTAATTTGGAAAATAAATTTCTATTATTTTCCAGTTTTTGGCGACATGCAAATGACACATACGCTCTCATTTAACACCAAGCATACTTATGCATATATAAAAAAAGACGAGGACAGTGACGATGATGCGGATGGACCGATAGTAGAGCGACAATGTCCTCAGTGTCGAAATGATAGGATGTCTTATGCCACGTTGCAATTAAGATCTGCTGATGAAGGACAAACTGTATTTTACACGTGTACCAAATGCAAGTACGTACATTTCTACATAGCAATATTTAGTAATCTCTACATCAAGTTGCTTTTAGAACTTTATTAATGAATAAATGTTATTTGCAGATTCAAGGAAACGGAAAATTCTTAACAAAACATTTTTCGCGTTACATATTTTATGTGAGATATAGCATAAGGTGATTCCTCTGTTTGTTCCTTTTTGTATACAAAATGTGCACTATTTTTATATTATTCGAAGTAATGAAAAAAATAAAAGATTCTAATACTTTGTAACATGTTTTATATACAATATATTTTCTCTCCTACATATATTTTTATTAAAATGTTCAATTTTAATCTGTCATTTGTAGAGTACTGTTAATGAGTTACTCTCTGTACGTACAGATGTAGCTGGACAGTTGTTGAGATCTATATTTCAAGATATAAATAGCCCGCCTTAATAAAACATAGAGCTTTATTTATAATACACTCAACAAATAGTGGTGAAAGAGAGTACACTTGTCATAATTCCATAACTCTACTGGGTCACAATATCTTCTTTCTAACAATACTCCGTTACCTTAATTAAGTGTTTAAGTAAGTAATTTTGTATATACAACACGCGTGTCGGGATAAAAGTTAACAATTATTTTAATAAATTCATCTTGATCCACTCTCAAAATTGTTACAGTGGTCCTTGCATTAAAAAACGTTTTAATAGAGAGTTTGTCGGTAGTTCCTTATCCTACTTATGCATTTACACATTGGCACTAATATTTGCCCGTGGTCTAACAATAATAAGAAGTGGATATGCTATCTTACGTTAAGGAAAAGTTTCGATAAACTAATTGTTGAATTTTATATACGTACGTTACGTAAACTATAGATATACAAATGTGATATAAATGATGTAATTGCACTTTCTTAACACTCTGGTATACCCACAGTAAAAGCTAGACTAGAGAACTAAAATTTGTAGGTAAGAGACACGATCGATATATGGAACATATAATATGAATTGCTCTTTCGAACAATAATTCAAGTCTGATGGACAGGAACAATTTTCCTAAAATCCGCCTACCTTTGAAGAAACCTTTAAATTGATTTTATCTTAAGTTTGAAGGATCTTATTACACAGAGTTTTTAGAAAATTTGAAATTTAAAAAATAGAGGATTACGTCATAAAGTTATTATGGAAAAAAGAAATGTCAAGTATATTAAAATTATTTAATATCGCATGTAATTTTATTAGCAAGATATTAGCAGCACTCTATTCGCAGTATATCCATAATCTAATATCAATAATACTATTCTTGTCACGGTGAAATCAACTTTATAGGTCCCGAAAGACACACAAAATCTTATTAATACGCAATTTCGTTTGGAAGATTTTACATAGTAAAATAATATTAGGATCAATGTTTTATAACAATGCAGTTATTAAACGCGAAATGCTTATGCTCCCAAATATTATATATTCCATAGCATAAAGTATATATATATGTTTTATAAAAAACATATGTTTTAGTAACTTGTGCATATTACCATACGCTTTTATTATATATTCTTCTTATGGAAATGTCTTTGTACATATTATTTTCGGTGAAATAGTGAAATGCCTCTCTCGAAACGTGCAACAGTTTGTAGAGATACAAAAAATAATATGTCACCTATCTATAGATCATTACAAAACATTGCTTTCACGTGTATTATCGTCGATTCTGAAAGTATAATTTGGTTACCATTTCCTATATAATTTTCGTCGATCATCACACGCCTTACGTTGTCGCACTTTCATAAAAATTACGAACGTCGCAATAGTCGATCAAAACGGCATTGTGAAAATATATTATGCTTCAAGGACTTTCCTAAATACATCTCAAAAATCGACTGGCTTAATTCCACATTTTTGTGCACGCAAAATTTTGATTCTCGTATATTAATCGGTTACATCGTCGGCGACCGTTGTAAAGTTATTGACACGACTGTGCTCAGTATTCTCGTTTCAAGATCTGTTCGATTATTATGTAGCAGTCGGGATAATAAATACTAATTTGCTTTTGCATACACAGGAATTTTATATTTTTGCTGAGTATTCCAGAGCCTTAAGATAACATATATGAGTTCAGAAGAATCGTGTTTGCATTAAAATTAGAATCGTTTAGCGCGTTTTGTGTATTAACCGCGTAAATTCGTCACCGAAATGTTTAATGTCGCAATATACTACAATCATTTAGCAGACGTAGCATTTAAATACGAATGTGAGCGCGTCGAATAGGCCGTAACAGTTGTTACATTTCAGAAGATCGTCGATAATGTTATTGTCGAAAAATGCGTGCGGTACGCGCCAGCGTACGTTTGCCCTTTAATTTTATCGTCGGGACATACAAAGAGTATTTATGCAACGAACAAAAAACACATTTTTCACGAATAAAAATTTACGCATATGTTAAGAAATAAATGAAACAAATTTGAAAATTTTGTTTCACGGAATGGCAAATTATCTTACATTGTACATTATTTGCATTTTACTTTTCGAATGTTGAAATGTTAAATATACATATTTTAAACAACTCTCGATTGCAGTTTGAAAATATGGGAGATATCTTTTTGTTACACAAAGGAAGTTAAATCTTGAGCATATTTTTCTCTAGTTAATCTTGAAAGTACATGTATATACATATGTGTATCTACGCGTATATGCGAAATCGTAAATTTGATTTATACTTTATCAAACCTTTTGAGAGCTCTCGTTTATCGAGATGATAACTGAACTCATATATGTGAATATCTGATATGTCAACATAATGTCTTATCAGAAAGGCGCGCGATCGTAACAGAAAAATATTCTGATTTCCACTGAATAAATCTAATATACATATGGAACATGTTATTTCACAGACGGTGAAATTATCGCTGGGACAATTAATTACTTTACTTCAGGACGAAACAAATGTCCTTCTTCTCGTCTCAGGAAATGCTAAGAGACAAGTTCGACACGTAGATTACCGAGTAATTAATTGGTGAGCTAATAGACTCACATCGTCGTAGCTGGCAATTGAAAATTTCGTTAAACAACGCCGTGAACTCATTAAATGAAAATCGTCTCGTGAAAGACCGCGCCTCATACTCTCGCTGTTCCAACTGGACGTCAAGTCGACTGGTTCGTGCGATTATCCGAGGATTTTAACGCGTGCCGAACAACGTTTAAACGATGCCTGCGGGCTGAAAATGTAAGTACGAGCTGCAACGATACGGAATACACTCTAGTGAGGTCTGAACGGCGAGACGACGGGGCTCGCGCCGTCATTAGGCCTTCGACGCACCGTTTGATCGGGTACTTTAAAAAACGTATCAAACATGTTGTTTTTTTTTTACAGTCCTGCTCCGCGTAATTTCGCGACGACGCTGGTGCCTAATTAATTATTCTATCTTTTTCTCTTTTCGTACTTCACGCTCGCTCTCTTTCTCTCTGTCTCTCCCATCGCTCTTCGACAATCCCGCACCGCTATGTACATTCTCTAAACGCTCATATTACATATCGTACACAAACTATGTACACGTGACGAAGTATTTACAAGTGTGAGGCAGGTGGTGTACAGCGTCTTAGATTGTCATCACTATCCCGTGCTCCGATCATGATGACGTCTGGAAGCATTCGTCCAGGAAGTTCTCCAGCGAGTGGTACAGATGCGCTCGCGACTGGACGATACCGTGGTCCTCGTCCGTGTACGTCTGCAGAATTTATTTGTGACGTTATTCCGCGATCCGCTTATTAATAAATAAGCAACGTTCGGCTCGTGTCTGCTAAGCAAGACGAGGGACAACGAACGAAGCAAAATCGGCGAATGTAATTTACTCGAAATGTTCGAAACAAACACCAAGCGGAATGTGTCGACCACACGATCTTCATCGACCGATAAATCAATGCGTAAATAAAAATTAATTAGAGACAAGATCGAAGAATAATTTTAACAGGTACACGATGAAAAAGTTCTTTGACTTGCGTGGGTTACCTTTCGTTAAAATTGTTCTTCAATCTTATCTCCAGTTAGCTACCTTTTATTTATAGACATTGACTTATTGACCGACAAGACTCTGCGTGGTCGCAATGTTCCGCTTATCATTTATTTCGAGTGCCTTAAATACATAACATCACATTTGCTATTTTTGTTCGCTCGTTTCTCTCGTATTCTTCTTATTATTACATTTAATTTCAGCATCTGTCGATAATGCGCTACGTACCTGTTGTCTAAAGAGGATGTCTTTCTGCTCCAACACCTTCGCGAGCATAAGCGACTGCTGATAGTGCACGTTATCGTCCAGAGTGCCGTGAATCAAGTAGTACATCTTATTCTTGATATTCTCGACCTTGTTGAGCAGCTGACCTTGCTCGTAGCCCTGCAGATTGTCGGCAACGGTCGGCAGACCCATGAATCGCTCGGTATAAATCGAATCTGTAATCAAGCGATTAGCGCGGCCGCGTTAACAAGGATAGCGGAGAGAAAAAAGGAGAGAGAGAAAAGGACGATCGAGGTCCGCAATCTAACAAGGTCTGCGTTATGTGGCGCGCAATATATCTTATGCGGGAATTGCACAAGTGTGACGCCGCATAAGTCTTTTTAACGTCGTCCTGTAAATCACGTGTATTTTTCTCGCGCACTCTGACAAAAGGAGGTAAACGCTGACACGAATTTAAAGCAGTTGCGAAAGTAATATTAAAGCTGCAATAGCGCGTCCTCTCCACGGAGCGCACACTTTTCTTCATTAAAACATACGGTGCGTAAAAAATTCTTAGACAAATCCCGGGGCCAAATGAGCTTAACATAAGTCATTTTAAGTGAGCCGCGCTCTCCGCAAGCGAGCTCTCCTAACAAGGTACGTTTATGGCAGCGGAATAGTGCAAGCTGGAAAAATGGCGCTTCACGCGTGATACTGTAACGATGTCGCGGCACTAATCGGAATAAGGATTAAAAAATACCAGTTTCGATCAACTCAATCATCGCTGGCAACAGTAAGTGGCGTTCAATTTTCAAAGAGCGAGAGTTTAGAACGCGTACATGTGAAATAAATTGCTCCGGTCCTTGTATAAGAATACAAGATGCCAAGACGCGATTGATTTAAATATAACTAGCGTTCCTCCCCCGGTGGAAATATTTTACCGAAAATATAAGAAGATTTTGCTGAAATATGTATTTAAAAGATTTGCCTCAACTGACCCCGTTTCGGTGAGAGATTATTTTCATTAAGAAGTAACACAGTTTTTAATGACAGTTTTAAATTTAGTAAATTCTAAAATATCTGAAAAATAGATATCCTACAATTTCTTTAACTTTTCCTACATTGTGTTGAATTTTGAGGAAAATTATGATTCACTTTTCACATCGATTTCGTAGTACTTTCCGCGAAATATTTCCATCGGGGCGCTTTCATTATTTGCTACAGTTTACAGTCATTCATCACGGAGTTGCTCCAATTTTTCACTACGTTATAACAATGTCGTTTATTATGTTTCAATTATTACAGTCTGGACAGCAAGAAGCTCCAAGACTCTCGACTTCCCGAAAGGTAAGCTCCTTCTTCCTCAGCTTTAATATTATGAAGATCCTTGACAAAAAATACTTTTATGTTAATTACAAGGCACATCTTCGGGTTTATTGGTTCTTCAACATTTTTTTTTTACTTATTCTACGTTCCACTGAAATACCAACTGACTTTGCTACGTCAGCGCGGTACGTAATTTAATGAGTTCCACGAAGTTGCGCTTATCCCGTCGCGAGATAATTCCGGTTTACGGTGTTACATCATTTTCCTTCCTTCCGAGATAACTGTAGGCCAGATAGTACTTTACGCGTCGCGCCGCTAATTCGATCGGCCGCCTATCAATAACGTACCGTAAAGGGCCCAGTCCGTAACTGGCGCGACTGACATGCCGCACTTGAAGACGCCCTTTAAGTCCATGGCGAGCGTCATGCCGGTCGCGTATCCACCATAACTCCAGCCCCATATCGCCGTTCTCGTACGGTCAATGAAGGGCAATTTGTCCTGCAGATGCCTGCAAGAAGCAGAGAAAAGGCGAATCAATATCACTGAAAATACGATGTTGAAGCACGTATACAGCTGAAATACATCATCCATACACGGGGAGAATTTCTTCTTAAAATTTATCCGGAGAATCATGTAATCGTCGGACAACACGGCATTGAGAGTTTTACGGTAAAATTTCAAAAGCTCTCAGACAGCCCTTCAAAATGCCACGTTGTCCCACGATTGCATGATTTTCAGGGTAAACTTTAAGAGAAAATTATCTCCGTGTGCGGTTTTACTTGCAAAATTGATTCAACGTTTTAAAAAATGTCATAAAAGTATTTGTGGCACAAAGAAACGAGGAAAAGAGAGAGAAAAAAATATTTGGCATACTTTAAATGTATTGTCAGAGGGGGACGCGGATATTATTTTCATGAAATTGATATTAATTATTATTTCAGCTTCCAAATAAGCTTCTGAACAATTATTCATAATTTTCGAGTCACCCGATTAATTTAGTGAATCACAAATTATTCTGTGTACATCGCCGAGATGCGACGTGACAGCGAAGGAAGAAGAGTATCTTTGCAGCAAGTCTTCCAATAATTTACAAATTTGGAAACAGTATCGAAAGGGCCGTCTATGACGGATTCCTTTGTCCCCGATCCCGCGTTTAAGAGGATCGTGCGGGGCCGCCCTGCAAGATTACTTTCTTTCGCCAGAGAATACCAACGCTCGTAAAAAAACTCCGTCGTTGAAGCGCGCAGACGAGACGGCCGATCGCTTTGCGATAAGAATCAATGAATAATTTGTAATTTCTATTTCCCTCTCCCCCCTCCCCCCCCGTATCCCCCTTTATCTCGCGTGCGCTCCGCGCGATTGTGCTACCAATGTGCCTCGTGTTACAGAACACGTGGCACACCATCGCTTTTGAATGAAATCGTGTGTCACGCAATTGCAAATTTCTACGGCGATGCAGCGATTATCGAAACTTTTCAGGAAATCTAATTCTCTCGCGGTCTCCGTAATTTCGTTAAATTACCTTTACAGGCTCTTTCAGGGGAAATTGTTGCCCGAGCATAATGTTGTTAAGTTTAAGAGCAGCAGCTTCGTTGAAACATCGCCCACGTACGAAGGGACACGAAATCCGAAGTCGCTGCAAAATTATTAACACGAGTCGTCCACTACTGTTGAAATTAGGGATCTCGGCGTGTAAGAATATCTTAAGGCGCGTCAAGTTGCGAAAGTGAATGCGTGTGTCACAAGGTCCTGACGACGGCGCCTACATTTTAATTCGAAATGGACGATCCGGCGAATGAAAAATGTTTTTAATTACAAAGGTAGGAGCAAGCTGCTGTTTATATATAAAATAATAATTTCATCTACGAGATACAAACGTAAGATAAAATTATTATTTTATACAGGGTGTTATGTAATACCCGCATCAACGCTTATTGTGGGATAGAGTGGACTAGACTAAGTCGAAAAGTCCTCTACCATTTTGCAATTTTCGCAAAAGTCAGCGAGTTATTAATTATTAAAAATCGCTGTCTTAGGCCGGCCCACTGCCCAATTGAAACGTGCGGCGAGATCGATCGATCGTTACTAGGCGCGCAGAGAGTTGT